TCTTGCCCTCTCTTCATAACACCATGTTTTCTAAACTTTAGCATTTGTGTTACCCTTCTTTGGCATTTCTCCAGTTTAATAATAAATGACGATATATACTAAATAAAACAAAGCAAAGACAAATAAACACAGAATAAACCCCTGACACACAGGGGAAAAAAGAAATATAAATATTTTAATAGAAACCTGGGTAAACCACTAAAACACAGACTATAATGCAAGGATCATATCTGCTAGTTCAGGTGTAGAAGAATGAAAAACTGAGCAAGAGAGATGACATATAGCAAGAACTTGCTCCTTGGTGTGAAGAGAAGACTCTTGCCCAGAAATCACTCTGGGGATCATATCATGTCATCCACTTATAAGTAGACCTCTCCAGTGAAACCAATGGGAGAGTTTTGGTTTTCGAAAAATGATGGCACAATATGACCCATCATGAGATAATTAAAATATTTTTTTTTCAGATTGATCAGATTATTATTTATCAGATTGGTCAAACTGCTATTATTTTCAAACTGGAGCAGTGAAAAAAATCTTACCTATGATCAGTGGCCTTAGTGAGATGAGTTTGGTGGTTCCAGTCCAGTTACCAGAGAATAAATATTCTCAACACAAAAAAAGCCCCTCACACCTGTAGTAATAGGCACCCTGACTCTCAATCTCAGCAAACAGGCCAATGACAGAGTAATTCTAGAAGCTGAGCTACTTTGCCAACCACAGAACAGGCCTTCCAGGTCAGAGGTGAACCACACTAATGCAGTTGTTTGGAGAAAGCCACAGGACTGCTGCTCATGTTGTAGCTACGTAATTAAATAGATTACTTTAGCCTCCAGGGTTTTATTACAAACTGTCTTTGTGAGCACAAAATTCACATTCAACAGGTCCAAGAATCCATGCCAGAGATATTGATGGGCCAAAAGCCCAAGCTACTATAGCATCTTCTGCAGTTTCCTGGGGGGAGGGGAAGATAGAGCTACAGAGAGCAGTGGGCCCCACCTACTGTTAGGGTTGCCAAACCTCCTGGTTTCACCGGCAGTCTACCGGAATCGGGCTCTATCACCCAGAGGCTACTGAAGCCAAATGGGGAGATTTTAGGCCACTAAACGTCTGGCAGTGCAGCAGGGCTAAGGCAGTCTCCCTTCCTGCCCTGGCCCTGTGCCACTCCCAGAAGTGGTGGGTATGACCCTGAGGCCCATTGGGGGAGAGGGGCTCCACACAATGACCCCACCCCAAGCACTGACACTGCAGCTCCCATTGGCCAGGAATTGCAGCCAGTGGGAGCTGCAGTGGTGGTGCCTGCAGGCAGGGGCAGTGCGGGGAGCTCCTCAATCCCCTCCAACTACTGTGCAGGATGAGAGTACTCCTGTGCTGAGGATTGAAGGACAGAAAAAGGAATGCAGAGTTCCAGAATAATTTTACCATAACTTAAATTATTTATTTCCCTTTCAGGAACAACTTCACTCAATTTATGTGTCCCTCTTCTGCCCCTGCAGAGGTTCTGAACCTGATACAGTCTGCATATCCTCCTTTGTGGGGGGATCCCTGGGGCAGACCTCATGTCTATGGCTTTCAGTCAGACATCTTTTATGAACATAAATTTCACTAAAAAAAAAGGTAAACCCAGAAATGGGCTGGTTCTCTGAGGAATTAAAAACTGCAAACTTTCACAATTTAGAAGCCACAGGATTGAGGGGAAAGGTGGGGTGCTTCCCGCCTCACAACCATCTGGCGTGGAATTTTCAAAAGCCTAAGGCCAATGCTGAGTACATTTGAAAAATCACACCTTTCATTTATAGAATTAATGGACCAGATAGATGTCCTCCCCTGGTAAAAGCCTCAGGAGAGGGCAGGAAGGGCTCCACGAGGCTCCCCTTTTGAAGTACCTCCTGCATAACTGGTTAAGTGGGCCCACAAATCTACACTTACCTTGGGACGCAGTCAGAGGGAGGACATGACCCTGTGCCTCCAGTGCAGTTGTGTCCCCAGCTTCAATGACAGGTTTCAGAGGAACAGCCGTGTTAGTCTGTATTCGCAAAAAGAAAAGGAGTACTTGTGGCACCTTAGAGACTAACCAATTTATTTGAGCATGAGCTTTCGTGAGCTACAGCTCACTTCATCAGATGTCACATCTGATGAAGTGAGCTGTAGCTCACGAAAGCTCATGCTCAAATAAATTGGTTAGTCTCTAAGGTGCCACAAGTACTCCTTTTCTTTCAGCTTCAATGAGGTTCTCATTGAGAGGTCCTGACCTCTGGAACTGACTTCCTATTTGTCTTCTAATCAAATTGGTGACCTTCAGGATGGGCTGAAAAGCTCATCTATTTTCCAGGCTATTTTGGGGGATGACATGGGAGGATGACTAGAAATTTTGGATGGTTGGCATGGTTTGCAGGCGAGCAGGTTGTTTCAGTGGGTGATAACCTTTACTAAATTCAGATAAATATTTATAGACATTTTATTTTGCCTGTCCCTCCCCGACAGTAGAATCTGTTTCCTTTTTTAGTGTCTGGAAACCTAAAGGAGAGAACCATTAAATTGTTTACCCAGAAACTATTTTTTCATAAGTGCAGAAAGTCCATAAATATTTCAACAGGCATGCAACTGTACCAAAATATGCCATGGTGATACACTGAATCAATAATCCATAAACTAGCATCTATAAACTAACAGGGTGGACAATAATGTTTCCTAAAACTCACTCTTTAAATAATAACTAAAGGTATACAGGTTTCAGAGTAGCAGCCATGTTAGTCTGTATCCGCAAAAAGAACAGGAGTACTTGTGGCACCTTGGAAATTAACACATTTATTAGAGCATAAGCTTTCGTGGGCTACAGACCACTTCATTAGATGCCTAGAATGGAACATATAGTAAGAATATATATATACAGATACAGAGAACATGAAAAGGTGGAAGTAGCCATACCAACTGTAAAAGGCTAATTAATTAAGATGAGGTATTATCAGCAGGAGAAAAAAAAACATTTTAGTGATAATCAAGATGGCCCATTTAGACAGTTGACAAGAAGGTGTGAGGATACTTAACATGGGGAAATAGATTCAATATGTGTAATGACCCAGCCACTCCCAGTCTCTATTCAAACCCAAGTTAATGGTATCTAGTTTGCATATTAATTCAAGCTCAGCAGTTTCTCATTGGAGTCTGTTTTTGAAGCTTTGCTGTTGCAAAATTGCCACCTTTAAGTCTGTTACTAAGTGGCCACAGAGGTTGAAGTGTTCTCCTACCGGTTTTTGAATGTTATGATTCCTGATGTCAGATTTGTGTCCATTCATTCTTTTGCGTAGAGACTGTCCGGTTTGGCCAATGTACATGGCAGAGGGGCATTGCTGGCACATGATGGCATAAATCACATTGGTAGATGTGCACGTAAATGAGCCCCTGATGGTGTGCCTAATGTGATTAGGTCCTATGATGGTGTCACTTGAATAAATATGTTGATAGAGTTGGCATTGGGGTTTGCTGCAAGGATAGGTTCCTGGGTTAGTGTTTTTGTTGTGTGGTTGCTGGTGAGTATTTGCTTCAGGTTGGGGGGCTGTCTGTAAGCGAGGACTGGTCTGTCTCCCAAGATCTGTGAGAGTGAGGGATAATTTTTCAGGATAGGCTGTAAATCTTTGATGATGCACTGGAGAGGTTTTAGTTGGGGGCTGAAGGTGACAGCTAGTGGCATTCTGTTATTTTCTTTGTTGGGACTGTCCTGTAGTAGGTCACTTCTGGGTACTATTCTGGCTCTGTCAATCTGTTTTTTCACTTCAGCAGTTGGGTATTGTAGTTTTAAGAATGCTTGATAGAGATCTTGTACGTGTTTGTCTCTGTCTGAGGGATTGGAGCAAATGCAGTTATATCTGAGAGATATACACTTATCCTAAGGATCAAAATAACTGTGGAGACTTATTAAGGATGAAATTCATATCAGCACAGAAAGCCTATGAACCACTCACATGCCTCTTATGCCCTCAACATAGGATTTAATTGGTGCATAGTCACTGAGTGGGTCCTCTGCACTGTGGTGAACTTCATCACAACTGTATAATGTGTATTTTTAAATGTATTATCAGGACATGTTTTATGTGATAAACCACAAGGCCTAACAACATACTGGTTTAATTGAGTACATAATGCAGTTCGTATCTAAAAAATAAATGTCTAAATACATATTTTCTCAAGAGACTGAAATAGCTTTTTAAAGTGTGGTTTAGAAAGGTAACAGTAAAACTGGCTGTTTCTTACTTAATACATACTAGATTATGCAGGTATTGCCAGCAGGGAGTGGGTGCAAAGAGCACTTTCCTCCTAATGCAACCATAGTTAAGTATGACACCAGTAGACCAGGTGCCAGCTCTTGCCAAGGCTGTAGGTGTCAGCTGAGCACTGACAAATTCATAGCTGGAAACGAGAAGAGCTTACCTGTATGTTAGTATTGTTCAAGATGGGTGTTAGACTTGTAAGGATGGGTTTAGTGTTTAGATTCTGTAAAATGCTTGTAAGTTGTTGCATTCATTAATCTTTCTTCTAATGTCTGTATCCTATGCTGTACAGTAATATGTAAGTTTTGCTTTCTAACTATAAAAATGCCTTCTTTCAACTTGTGAACCCAGGCAGGAGGAGTCATTCACCCACTCAAAACTAGGTGGGCCATCTTGAAAGATCATAATACAAAAACTGGGTTGATGGTCCTCTTTCACCCATGAGGGTACTATATGTGAGAAAGGTCGTCCCATCAGCTTGAATTCTGGAAAAAGGAAATAAAGATAGCTGACATAAAAATTCTTCATCTCTTGGCTGTTTGGAGGTAGGAAACAAAAGCAGAGATCCTCCGTGTCAACCGAAAACGCATTCAATGCTGACAGATTACTGCATCTCTGTCACCTTTTGGAACCAGAGACTGTAACTCATTTCTGTATATGTGTTGCCTGCTTTAACCTGAAAATAACTCTCATTTCTTTTTCCTAGTTAATAAATACTTATTTCATTTACTATAGGATTGGCTACAAGCATTGTCTTTGGTGTGAGATCTAAGGTACAAATTGACCTGGGGTAAGTGACTGGTCTCTTACGACTGGGAGCAACCTGAATGTTTTGTGATCTTTGGTATAAGTGACCATTTATCACTAAGTCTAGCTTACCTGGGTAGCAAGATAGATTGGAGTATTGAAGACGACTGTCTGTGACTCCATAGTAAGACTGACACAGTCACATCAGGGAGCCCTGCTTTTTGACAGTGTGCCCTGCGGTTGGCATTCATGGTCATGAACCATTCCAGACAGCATGACAGTAAGTAATTATAGCTTGGCTACTAGTGCTGAGCAGAATAAGACTTGCCATATTGGTAGCAGTATTAACTGCCCAACAGAGGGCACATTAGGATAGAGATGAACAACTTATTGAGAAAGCACATGGAGAAAACAGGCTATACTTTTCAAGAGAGAAAGATTCACTGAATTCCCTTGGCAAGCATAACACCTCCCTCCACTACAGTTGAAGTGCACATGGTATTTCCCATCCTGTTCCCAGTGAAGTTAGTGGGAGTTTTGCTATTGACTTCTGTGGAACTAGGATTAGTAGCTGCGTGACTGGGTCATATCTGCTTAGTTTACAGATAAACCCCTGTGGTTTGTTATTGTTACAACTTGACAGACAACAGCTATTGAAGAGTGAACTAGATTTTATTTTACCTAATGAGTCCTCAGCAGACTTGTCAGCTAAATGCTGACTATAGGATCTTTAATAGTGGTGATGATGTCATGGGAAGAGAAAACATGTCCTGATTTTTAGACACACGGTTGTATCTGCAGGGCTAGCAGTTAGGAAAAAAAACAAAAACCTTTTGACATTGATTCTGTGGAGTCACTGAGGGAAAATACAGAATTATTAAAATCATTTTTGTAAAATAAGACCTCACTTTGAGTCAGACTTTTAATACACATTTTTATATGTAAATCTATATTATGGCATAAATGCATTTTTAAATGGTACCAACATTACAAAAAAAAGTTTAAACTGTCAGAAAAGCCTTTAGTTATTATCAAGATGTACCCATTATAATTCACATATTCTTTACTCCTTACTGCAAGGATTATTGTCACAACAGAACATAATAGCTCTCTTCTTGTTGAATCATGCTGGAGCCTTTATTCAATTAGCCAACACATATTAGATATGGTGTCATAGAGAAAATATATATTAGAAATACCTACTAACCACAGTACATTTAAATATGTTTATTAGTAGTAGTAGGAGTGATCCATCCTTAAATCACTGATTACACCCATTCTTGAGGAAGTAAACAGTGTATCAACCTTGTGTGGGCAACGTTCACAATGGTGAATTTCACCCATAATGATTGTCAGAAATGTTTAGGGTACAATACATAAAAAATAAAAATCATTCACTTATTATTGGTTTTATAAGTTATTAGTACTTACTTAAAAATAGATCATCCTTTATTTTTTTAACAATATATCTTTGTGCAATTTCTCACTCACCTCATTTTAGCTGTTTTACAACCCAGAAGCTCAATTATGAAAATAAATAGAATCGTCAAATGACACAGATTGAGCTTAGACATTTTAAAGATGTCTGTATTTTGAATGGCATATAATTAGAACTTCAAAAATACAACAGCAGCACGTAAAATACATATGATGCAAACATTTTAATTTTATACTTTATGCAACCATGGCTGGATTTTCTCACCTCAGCAGAAATGTCTTTCCAGATTACCAAAGACCTAAATGAGAATCGGTATCTACCACCCTTTTATTCCATGACACCCCCTCCCCCTCTCCCAATTGCATCAGAGTTGCAGGAATATTGTAGATAAGTGGGTGGATTTTACATCAATAGCTTTAATGTATCACATTTCTTAATTCGGATAATGCAGTGGCTGCTCATTGATCACAATATTAAACATAAGACAATGTAAAATTACAAATGGACACAAATCAAATACTTCGGATATGAGGACCTCAAAAGGTAAAGGAAGTTTGAATACAGTTTTGAACCCCCCTATTCCTATAACACACTGAACCAGCACTCCTTTGTAGATGATACCAAGATGGGAAGGGTTGCAAGTGCTTTAAAGGATAGGATTATAATTCAAAATGATCTAGACAAACTGGAGAAATGGTCTGAAGTAAAATAAGCTGAAATTCAATAAGGACAAAAGCAGAGTACTCCACTTAGTAAGGAACAATCAGCTGCATACATACAAAATGGGAAATGACAGCCTAGGACTGGGTACTGCAGAAAGGGATCTGGGGGTCATACTGGACCACAAGTTAAATATGAGTCAACAGTGTAATACTGTCACAAAAAAAGTGAACATCATTCTGGGATGTATTAGCAGGAGTGTTGTAAGCAAGATATGAGAAATAATTCTTCTGCTCTACTCCGCACTGATCAGGCCTCAACTGGAGTATCGTGCCAATTTCTGGGTGCCACATTTCAGGAAGGAAGTGGACAAATTGGAGAAAGTCCAGAGAAGAGCAACAAAAATGATTAAAGGTCTAGAAAACATGACCTATGAGGGAAGATAGAAAAAAATTGGGTATATTTAGTCTGGAAAAGAGAAGACTGAGAGGGGACATGATAACAGTTTTCAAGTACATAAAAGGTTGTTAGAAGGAGGAGGGAGAGAAATTGTTCTTCTTAACCTCTGAGGATAGGACAAGAAGCAATGGGCTTAAATTGCAGCAAGGGAGGTTTAGGTTGTACATTAGGAAAAAACTTCCTAACTGTCAGGGTGGTTAAGCATTGGAATAAATTGCCTAGAGAGGTTGTGGAATCTCCATCACTGGAGATTTTTAAGACCAGGCTAGACAAACACCTTCAGGGGTGTTCTAGATAATACTTCGTCCTGCCATGAGTACAAGGGACTGGACTAGATGACCTCTCTCAGTCCCTTCCAGTCCTATGATTCTATGATTCTATCCTTATCCAAGCACCCCAAGTGGTGGCAAAGTGCAAATCTGGATCCAAATATTTTTGCTTTGACTCATCTCTATTTGAGACATTTGATAGTCCGTTCAAACTTTTATATCCTGTTTACAAGGTAGTGTGAACATAGTCAAGGGGATGGGACACTGGATTGCAAGTTATGAGACTTGTGTTCCATTTCTAGGTCTGCCAGTGACTTTCTGTGTGAGCTTGGGCAAGTCAGTTATGCACTAATTTCCATAAGTGGCCATCAATTTGGGGGGGCCTTGATTTTTCCAGGTCCAACTTGAGTCACCTAGGTCTGATGACTTTCAGACGTATTGAGCACTGCAGGTCCCACTGAGCTGTGAATGTTCAACACTTCTGAAAAGAATTCTCAAGGGAGTTCCTCTCTGTACTAGTGCTGAACCAGATGGAGAGAACAAGGTGACCAGGGTCTCCAAAAATCATATCTGCCCCCTTCTTCTGTCTGGGTGTATCTCAGAATGAACATAAGAGTTGGGTTTTTTTTTATAATCAATAGCTTCCAGGGCCAATTAGCTCATGTAGTTAGAACACCTCTGATTTTGGAACCAAGCACCTAGCATTCCAGTTCTTGCTCTACAGCTGTGTACAGTTTACTATGGAGAGGTGATAAGCTCTTTCTAGTTGAGGTTGAGACCAAAGTTCCTTAAGGTTTTTATCCTACTAGTAACATATACCCACAAGAAAAAGGGAAAAAAACACCTCCCTGTTTTCCATTTGTAGGCTTAAGTATCATTGACAACTAGAACATATTCTGAAATTTTTGAATAAAAGGAGTAAGTACTTTTTAAGATTAAAAGACATAGCTCTTTTAAAAATATTTGTGAAATGTTTTTGTGTGTTGCTCCACAGAGCCTATTTTTTAAATCCATGTACAGAGCTTTGATATCACATTACTTATCACTTTAAAAATTGACAGACAGATTTTGGTTTTGGCTCATGCAACAGGCAATTTAAGGACAGGAATAGTAAAATATTTAAGCAACTGTTATTAGCAGAAACTAGGACACAATTCTCCATCAGTGCAGCCAACAGAGAAAATAATAAGATGACAGTATACATTCTCTCAAGAAATACTATTTCAATAAGCAAGGCAAAGATGGGGGCCATGTATTAGGAGCACCAGGAATTGCCATTCCAGATCAGATCAGTGGTCCAGTTCAATATCCTGCATCCAATAATAGCCAAAACCAGGTGCTTCATAGAAAGATGCAAGGAACCTCATGGAGAACAACAGCAATTTCCTCCTCCAGACACTTAGGGGCAGATTTTTAAAGGTAATTTAGCACTTAAAGATGTTGATAGGCATCTAGGGGAATTTTCAAAAGTGCCTAGGTGTCTAATTCATTGAAAGCAATAGGAGTGAGGTGCTCACTTAGGCACTTTTGAAATCTCACTAGGTGCCTTATCTGCATCTTTAAGCACCTAAATACCCTTAAAAATCCATCCCTTAGAGATTGGTTTATACCCTGAAGTACATGGTATATGTAAGAGTTTTTGTAAGAGTCCAGTTCTGCTAAGTTTACTTTCCTTGAGCAGTACTTTGAGTGACTAGGCCTTAAATTCTAGATTGTGGCACTAATCTGGAAACTGGAAACTGTATCTTGGTCATGCCAAGTTTCATCTGGCACTAACCCATACAAATGCAGAAAGAAGCTTTGCACCAGTCATTAGAGAGGTATAGATTGTTTACTCCACTCGCAGGCTGGTGAACAGGAGAAGGGCCATGACCTACCTCCTCCCTATCCTTCTCCCCCAACTTGTCAGCACTTTGATCCCTATAGAGGAGAAGGAGGAGGAGTAAAAAGTACTCCTCACAGTAAATCAGTGCCTTCTTCATTACAGTACAACCTTAAGTGCCACCCATTGCAAAGACTGTTGTTGTGGGATGCTGGGGAGGGAATTTTTGTGTGTACCTCTACTCCCATATAAATCAGTTCTCACAACCTAGCCCTAAAAACACTGCAGATGTTCTTATCCCTATATAAGTCTAATCCTTTCCCAAATCCTATTGATTTCATAGCCTCAGTGGTATAATTGTGGCAATATTAATTGACCATATTATTGTTCCTGTACTTGTAGAACGGTAACTAGGAACACCCAACTGACCTTTTATATACTGTTCATTACTTTATAGACAGACCTATGTCATGTCCCTTCTTATTTTCACTGACAGACTTTCTTTGTAATGTCAAAGCCACTAAGCTAGCATCATTATTAGCTTGGTCAATGCTACTCACTCATTTAATTTAAGGATCTAGGAACCAGTCCATCCCATGTTTATTTTTTAACTGTCTTTATTTACATACACAGAAGAAACATTAAAATAAAATGTTTAGGTCTTGAAGTCAAGATAACAGGCATTTACTTGTTCCTGATTTTAAAAAAAATGTGTTTATATTTATTACAGTCAAGATACTGGTTCCAGTGAAATGAACGACAAAACACCCATTGATTTCAATGATATAGATAGAGTCCTGTGCATACAGTAGGGCTTGCATATTCATTTCCTTGTTTTTAAGTGCTTGGAATTTGTAAAGGACATGATAGGTATACACAGTGTTGTCACTTAGCAACTGTAAGTGGTTTGTTTAAACTTTTTTTTTTTTTTAAGTAGCATTTGGCTTCCATCTCAGCACTATTCAAACCAGGGACGCTTTGTTCCAAATGTATCAGCTTCTTGAGTGAAAGCAGGCACTCCATTAAATGCTTATAATCTCTTTGCAGGTCTCCAGGTGCTAGAGGGTGAAACCACGACTAACTCATCACTACTTGAGCAAGTCTGACATTCCCTTCGCTGGAGGATGGCACATATACAAAACACACTACATCTCAGTATGCTTGTTTATTCATGTGTACAGGACTTCACTGCCTTTTCAAAAAGAGAATCAAATACATTATATATATCTAATCTATTTTTCTAGATTTTTAAGGCCTGAGCCTGCCAGGTGCCAAGCACTACCTGAGGGCACCATTGACATGAGTAGCAGCAGAGGGCACTCAGCACCTTGCAACATCAAAACCCTCATACAGTGCTCCATTAGTGAAGTAATTATAAAAGCACAAAAATACAAGGTGGGTTTTGCTTGTTTGTTTGTTTGGCTGAAGTCTTCATCTGTTCCATGGGTTTTTATTATGGTTATAATAATTTAACCAGCATCTATAAAACTTTCTTTGCTGCCTACCTCTTTGTGCTAAAAATAAATGTGGAAACAAAAAAGAGATGCAGCTAGATATAAAGAAGCACAGCCAGTAAAAGAAACTGTAAAAAAAGGAGAGAGGTGGGGTCAAGAGCAAGATAATATTTCTACATTTTTTTTTCATTACAGCCCAGTAGATTAACCTAAAGCACCACACGCTTTGAAGTGTTGTTCCAAGTGCCAGTGAATTTTCTGAATTTTCCCAGTGCAGAGAATCATACTCACAGCAACACCTGTACATCAGACAAGGATGCAGCCAAATACCTATGGGTCGACTGCAAGCCACATTTCCAGATATATATGAATGAATCACTTTAGATAGACTTGTTATTGCTCTCTGTCTCTCTCTCCCCCTCTCCTGAACTTGTTCTCTCTGGTAGGGGCCATATACTTTGAATCTCCTATGTGCTGCACCACTTCCCATTTCTTCTTCACATCTGGCTTAGTATTACATAAAGTATGAATTAATGTGACTCACAGTGCTAGCCCATTGTGTTTTGTGGTGTAAAGAAACATACACTATTTTCCTCTCCTCAGTGGGAAGTAAATGCTGCAAGCACAAATGCTGTAGATATCCGTAGGTGCCTTGGGTGCATTTTTCTCTTTTCTGTTGCGGTTGTTGTTATTACCCTCTTATCTCCACAGAAGATATTATCAAGTTTCCTTTTTCAGGAACAATTACAGTTGAACTGCAAATATTTGAGCCTGGTTATGTGTAAAAAGGTAACAAATGACTATTCATGGGAGGCAGGTGATTCACTTCTTCATGTGCTTAACTTTCAGATTTTTGGTGTGTGTGTGTAAATGTATATATATAATATTTAAATTCTGTGTATTGTTATCACAAATTTAAAGTATAAAATTGCAGCATGACAATAAAAGCATCAACTGGATGCATAAGCAGGGGAATCTGTATTTATCCTCCCAAAACCTCTGTAAGATAAGGACATACTATTATTCCCATTGCACAAATGGGGAACTGAGGCAAAATGGAAAAGTAACATGTCCAAAGTCAAATAGAAAGCATTGGGGGGAGAGGGGAAGAGGAGAGAAGAGCATGGACTTGAAGCTGGATCTCCCAAGTCCTAAACTAACCTCCAGACCCTCTACTCCTCTGAAGGCCAGAGAAATTGCAGTCAGTCCTCCAAATCTCTCACCCACAATATATGTCCACAGCAGAAGCAACTGTAGAATAATATTCCACAGCAGGGAGGCCCCACCATTACTCCCTCATCCTCCGTCCAACAGAATCACAGGGTTAGGGACCATTTTCACCATACCTCGAGGGGCCAGCCTTTGTCCTTGAAGATTGACCAAATATAAATGGCAGGTATGCTGGGAACCTGAAGTCACTGTTGTTGGATGTTACTTCTGAAAGTAGCAACCCTAAAAGTGATACCTACAGGTGCAACTTTGCTGTCTCAGCTATGATGACCGGCTGAAGCTGCAGCCTCCGGCCTGGGAATTTTGCTTCCAACCTCAATGTGCCTTTTGCTTTGCTAAGTCCTTCCCAGCAGAATCCACTTGCCAATTCAGGCAGTATTTGAGACAAAAGAGTTCCCCTGTGTGTTACAGCAGGTGAGGGAGCAGACAGAGAATCTTCAGTCCTTAGTATCTCTAGCTCTTACTGAATTTTAAAGAAGTTCTTATATCAATCACTTCTTTTTAAAGATGTGAAAGCTGCTTGTTTATGGGCCTGTGAAAGAACTTAAGGAGACTGGTGTTTTCTGAACAAACTGGAGTGTTTTATTACTGCAAGCAAGTTTAACTGCTCATGACACACTTTTCAGGGGTCACTCAATTTTCTAAAAAAGCATAAAGCCACAATACAAATCAGACTTTTTAGCCTTCATGATTCTGATGCCTGTATCCGAATGACTTTGCTAGCCTGTGTCTGTTGTCCTCATGCATACAACCCTCCCAAAACATCAGGAGTAGTTCAAAAATCAGTGTACCTCAAAACTCTCATACTGTTGTGTTTCTATGCCTCATTAAACATGGCATTTATGACAGCTGCATCACAAAGATTTGATTATATTGTATATGCAATATTTTTCCCCCTGATTATTCTTCTGTTAGACACTCTCAAACAGGCTTTCTAGAACTTTCTACTTCTGTTAATTAATCTTTGGTTAAAGTTTTTGATATCCATGTATGAATACATGGATTGGGGTTGATTATTCTAAACTATTTAATGTGTCTTCTGTTTGTATGCTGAGGGATATTTGTAGATCTCTTGGCAAGAAGTCTTGGATGAGGACTCTTGCGGGCTTTCAGTTGCTTGTAAGGTGAAGTGTGCTAACACATAACGTACGTATGGTTCAGCTTCAAAACATGAGGCCCAATCCCACATTAATTGTACACACAAAATTCCTAGGATGTGATTCTCCAGTACCTTGCATAATCATGCACCTGTCAAAATGGGTGCGAAATGCTACCAACTTATAAGTTGCAAGACAGCGGAGAATCAGGCCCCACTGACTTTGGAAGAATTTTAAGATAACAAAGAATAGTCTGATCTCTGCTTCCCTACCAAAATGCTTTCTAAAATCTTAAAAGCAATAATTGGTGACTTTTAAAAACACCTTCAGTAATCATGTGTTTCCTTTTGTAGGGACTGGAATCTGTGAAACACAATGTAGGTTGTAAAACCAATGTTTTTCTAAATCTTGATTTATCTAGAAGTGCTTTATTTTCCATTATTCTAACCATGCAGCATGCAGAGAGGAATAAAAATAAAAATATACAAACACTAATAAATGTAACATCTCTAAAAATGACCTAAAAAGTTTTCCATACTTAAAAATAACATAAACTTTAATTTGCATTATTTCTGGCCTTTACAGAGTTCAAAGCAAATTTTGAGCATCTTGCTGGAAAGATAGAAAGCTCATCTTTCCAAAAAGTATAAAATTCCTATTTCTAGTCCTATATGGCCAGGAGACAGTCTTTAAAAGTGGAACAATTCTTTCTCTATATATTATTGATTGTACCATTTGAATCTTGTCAGTGTGGAACCTTAAACAATAACCTCAATTATTCTGGATAGAAACTCAAGGAGAAGGAGGAAGAAACAGTTCTCTGACAGCTGTTGGTTGGTTGGATTATTTTCAGGGGTGGTATATAAAATTGGAACAGCAATCATATGCATGTGTACATGCACCCGTGCACGCACACACTATCACTGAGGTTGATATCTTTCTGCTAAATTGCAGCGCTATGTGATCATTTCATTTATCATGCACCTTTGACAGTCTCATTTGCCATTTGCTGATTAATCCATCTTCTCTTGTATTTATTACAATATTCTAACTGTCCGAGCAGCTACAGCCATGCACCTCTTTATTTTTTATATATATATATATATATATACACACACACACACACACTTTTTAAAAATTTCCACCACCATTTAGACAGACAGATAGATAGATTTATGTGGCAATCTTTATATATATATATATATATTTTTTTTTTTTTTTTAAAGACTACTAATAAATTCCTTAGACCTGTGGAGAACTTCTTGGTGGTGAACTGTTAAAGACATAAAATAATATAAAACTAACACACTTCAAAAATTCATATTGCTCTCTGCCATCATTAAGCTTTCACTGTGATGCATCGGCAAATTCACCTTCTTTTTGAATTTGTATTTGTTTCATTCAGGCAATGCATTATCGAATGTGGCAGAGTGAGTTTGTAGAAGTTAAAGATTAAAAAAGGGATGAGGCAGGGGTGACCAAACTTACTGACCTTCCGAGCTGCATACAACAATCTTCAGAAGTTCGAGAGAAGGGGCACACCTGCCAGATTCGGGACTTCAGCCCCTTGGGAACTGCCTGACAGGGATTGGGGCTTCAGCCCTGTTCCTGCTAAAGCTCCGAGCCCTGGCAGGCACACCCTGTGGGGCTTAAGCTCCTAAACCCCTCTCCCCACTGGGCAGAATCCTCAACCCTGCCACGCTGCTGCAAGGCAGAGGTCCTGAGCTCCCCCCACCCCCACCCGCAGTCCGGTAGGTGGAGAATGGAGGAAATGGGGTGGGGTGGAGTGGGGCTCTTCAAGCCACACTTTAGCGGTAAAAGAGCCGCATGTGGCTCACGAGCCACAGTTTGGCCACCTCTGGCATAAGGGATCAGTGTAGTTCCTCTCTCTTTTGATATAGATTTGTATGCCATGCAGCACATTCCCTGTTGCTTTGTCCATTCCAGTTTAAATGATTCTAAATTTCACTACTTCCAAGCAGGGAATAATGAAGCTGACATCCTCTGTCCTGTACCAAGTATCTTTCCATTGCAATCAGTTTACCAGTTTATTCTATACATTTTTTCTGCTTTCCAATTTGCCACTTAAAGGATTTTCAAAAACTTACAAGTTGAGATATAAAAAGATAACAAATATAAAACCAACACTGACAAGGGCATAGGGAAGAATAATCATATTTGAACAGGTGCACAACATTGAGTTTCCCAGACAGCTGGTTAGACTCAACCACATGCCAAATCCATTAAGCCCTCGTGGCTCCAGATTTAATGAGAAGCACATTTTGTCTAGTTTGGCTCTTCTGGGCCTTCCACTTCCCTCTTGGACTTGGCAAGTTCTTTCAGTCTGAAAATAAGATTTCCTAATACCCGTTAAGGATTCAAATTTAAACAAGTTTATGTGTAAACTATCAAAACGACTGCTACTTTTTAGCATATTAAATAATCTAGTCAAAGGTTTATGAAATATACAGATTCATCTTACTCTGTGTTTCTAATATTGAACAGGAGCTATTTTCTCCTGTAACTGACAGTTCCAAGGTGGTGGTTTGTTTTTTCTCCCTCTCTTTAAATCGTTATTAGCTTAAAATGTTTTCCACAGCCCTCTCTAAGTTTGAAGTCAACCAGATGTGCTTTGTGGTGTGCAAAGGGTTGGGTTATTTTAAACCAAAGTTATCAATAGGGCTGTATCTATCCAGCTACTTTTATGGCCCTCATCACCACAGAATCTGAGGGGCTCACTGATAGATTTTTACCCTCTCTATTACATAGAAAGTATTTTCTCCATTATACAGGTGGGTGATGGAGGCCTAGCATAGCCTCACATGCCCCAAATCTAATACAAAGTCTGTGTTGAATGAAGAACTGAACCAGCATCGGATTTCCCAGTCTCATGCCTTATTAGCTAGACCATACTACCTCCCTAGGTTCAGACCCCGCTTTAAGATAAGTAACATTTTTATTTGTTCACCAAAGTTACCATTAACACAGAGTTGCAAAGCTACTTTCTGTTAAATAAAACACAATAGCATAAAAGTATGTTTATTGTGCCCCATAGGATGCTCAGAATGATACAGATTGCAAAGTTATACAGCGTCTCCAAGAGCAGAAAGATTTTAGAAACCAAACCTTGTCATTTCCTCATGCTCTGGCCCCTTTCTACAAATATATGAACTAGTATATAAATCAAATTCAACTGGGTGAACAGTCAACAAAACACTGAAATGAAATCATTTACTGTCAGAGCCTCTCTCCAGGGAAGACATTTCACTCAATGATGAGTAACTAATACACTTTTATTCACAGTTATGTAATTGTTTGCTTCTCACCAACTTCCTATTTAACAGCAAAATATTGATTCTATTTATTCTTAACTTGAGACTGCTACAATATGAACCTGAATGCCAAATCCTCATATATACTGTAGAGTATCAATAGGATTACTCATGAAAGTAAATACCAACTTGAGTAAGGATACACAATCTAACCAAAACAGCATTCCTGATAACCTATTTTATGGGTATTTTTGGTAGGTTTATTAAAGTCATTTTACTTCAGTGCTTCTTGGCCAAACCTTTGACATGTTATGTATTCAGAAGAGAGAAATGCAATATACCG